AATTTGAATATTTAATGTAACACAACACTACTTTCTAAATTGTAAATTCCTAATAGATATATTTCCTTTTAATGTTTTTGAATACTAATTGTAATAGATTTCCATATCTACTAAATTTATTTCCTATTTACATCACTATTTTATGATTAAAAAACTTTTTTCAATTTGAATATTTGACGTGGCGTAACACTATTGGTTGATTTAAATCCTACGTGGACGCCCTCAAAAGCTTATAGCCTCAACTTTTATATAGTATAGACTAGGTTTTATACCCACGCTACGCATGAGTTTGTTTTATCGATAAGTCTAATATATATTTACACTTGCTTATTTTTAAGTGATCTATACATCGACGTATACGAATGCAAAAGTATAATGGTAAAAAGATGAAAATATCGTATAAAATTAATTAATTACTTTACCATAAATAGTAATTTGTATCAGTTAGTAATTTATGATAAATACTAATTATAAATGATCTCTCATAATCCTTTCGGTTTCTTTGGCAACAATTCACGAAAACTCTTATTCAAATAGTAAAGTATGCAAGACTAAATCCATATATTTTTGGTTAATTATATTTCACTGAAACTAAATATTAAAAGCATAATGTAAACACAAATTGATCAATATACAATTTTTTCTATTATTTTACCTTTTTTTTTTTTAGAAAATGTTTATTTTACCTTTATTAATTGTGACATGTTTGCTCATTCACCTATTGTCATCTTTACCAATCAACAATCTCTCAACTCTTCTTTATCATTCTCTAATTTCAACTTTAGGCTATTAAATTTTTTATCATGCTTGCTTTCTACGATGTTAATAACATTTAACACTAATTGATGTTACGATCGTCAAATAAAATTCAATGTTTCCATTTTTTAGCTTTAATATCCATATATTCTATTTTACCTTTTTAAGAATTAAATAGAAAAGCTTATAAAAAATATTTCAAACTAAACTGGAAAAAAAAAATATTTCTATTAACAAAAAAAAAAGTTAACTTATACTAAATTCTTTTAAAAATTAGAAATATTCTACTCACAATAGAAAAAAATTAACTTAATTCTAAATTTTGATGTAGACTATAATTATTGGCTGTTTAAAATTCTATGTAGACTAACTTAGCATCAAGTAGGTTCAATCTTTTTCACTAATAAAATTTGACGCTATTTGAAATTAAGATTATCAAGTAAATTCAATGATTCCAATTTGTTTTTAGCTTTAATCGTACATAG